ATCTTTGATCTGCTTGTTGAAGTTTGCACCAGCAGCAGCAACCAAGGCTTTCACCTGACATGTGGCGCATGCGGGGCATTGGCCGGTTACTTGAGATTCTTCGGACATCCACAACCACTGAAGTGCTACGCAGGTCTCCCGCGGCCACTGGTTCCACGCCCCCCCCACACCCCAGTTTTTCGCCTTGTGCAATTCTGCCCCGAAGGTATCGTCGGTTGCCTTGCGATTTGATGCAATTTGGATCGTGGAGAGACGGCATGAGGTGCTTCACCGTTTCAGCCTTCCATTTGACTTAGTCGTTGTGCTTCGGTCGTTTCTTTTGGCTTGATCCTTCCCAAGATATTGATGCTCCAAATAAAAGTCTCGTCTATTAACTTCAAGCAGATCTGACAGTTGTATGCATTAGCAGCAGGTCAATGAGCATAAAGAGTCAATGCCTGAAGCCGCTTGGGGATCTCTTCCGGCCTTGATCAAAGTAGGTCGCTCGCGTGCGGATTCGCGCATGTCGGGTCGTCTGGCAGTTGGGAGACCTACTTGGGCCATGCCTCTTGGGCCATTCTGGGGAGACATCGGGAGACCTGCTTTAGCGATTGCCAGTGATCATGCCCTGATCCACAGCAGCTCACCCCAAAGTATAGCGCCTTGCAAGTTTTTGTAGGTCTTTTTCCATTGCCTCGACCTTGTCAGCCACTTTCAGCCAGAGTCAGTCAGTTGTGCAGAGTGATGCTATGTCTTGCTCAGAGGTTAGCGCATCTATTCTCTTCCGTGGCAAACAGCAATCATTGTACACCGAGCAATCTAAAGCCTAACTTCAAATTGCTTTAAGGACCCGCATGATTGTGACGTGCCTTCTCCTGCAGGGACTGATGGTTGCCATCTGCTTTGGACATTGCACTTGACAACCTGGACAAATGCTCCACTGGCACATGCAGCTTCAATAGGTTGTTCTGAAAATGCATGAAGCCTCAAAGGAAATGCCGAACGGTTTTCTCCGCGGCGCTCCAGAGAAGGTTCTGAAAGCTTGGTTGACGGGGTCATGGAGTTGTTGCCACCCTTGTCACCCTCGCGTTTGAAAGCCAGTTGGTTAGTAGCAGAGTTAGTGTTAGTAGTAGTGTTAATGGTAGTGCTGGTAGTGGTGGTAGTAATGGTGGTGGTAGTCGTAGTGGTTGTGGTGCTACTTCTACTACTACTACTACTACTACTACTACTACTACTACGTCTACTAGCATTGGTATTTGTATTGGTATTAGATGGCATTGGTATTGGTATTAGTATTGGTATTAGTATTGATATTAGTATTGGTATTAGTACTAGTATTGTATAGTAGCATTAGTATTCTTGCTAGTATTAGTGGTAGTAGCAGTAGCAGTAGCAGTAGCAGTAGCAGGAGTAGTAGCAGTAGTGTAGTAGTAGTAATAATAGAGTTTTAAACGCATAAAGTCAAGATCCAACCAGATGCGGCTGCTCGCCTTTCCTCCAGCTCGTTGAGTTGTTTCAACGACTCATTGGCCTCGCATTGGAAGAGCTTAGAAGACAAAGAGATCGATTGAGGATCCAAAGCTGCTCTAAATTCCGCGAAGCTTGGCTGAAGGAAGGATGGATATCCATCGTAAGCCTTCCACTTTTCTTTCAATGCATAAATGCAATTCATGGCCATCTTCACAGAAAGCTGTCCTTGTTTCTTGATAGGAGCTGCATTCCAGGGTATGGGCGGTATGGGTGTGCGGGAGCTTAAACCTGATGGTGGCCTAGCAGCCTAGCATTGGCTCGGGATAGGAAACTATTGTCTTGCCAGCGTGCTAAACCATGGTGACCATGAAAAAAGGATGAAACTGATGTCAACATAGGTCAACATGGTCGACACCGGTGTGCTTCTCATTCACATGCCCAGTGCCTGGTCCCCGACATCAGCCTTTTCTATCCGAGCATTCAGTGCCTGTGCCGTCTGGAAATGTGCCAAGACCATGTCACTCACAGACCACACGGAAAAAAGGACACCCAACAACTGCCCCGTGGAACCTTCTGCTTGAGCCCTGTTGATGCTGGAACCTGTTTGGAACATCTTGGAGCCTCCAGCAATTTACTGCCCTTGGAACCTCGCTTCCAGCAAAGGGGTTGTCACTGTCTAGCTCAGTAACTTGAATAAGTCTGTGGGTGGTGTCGGATGCTCTCAATGCGCTGGCCCGTCCTTCCACTGCGACATGGTGGGCACACTAGTGATATCCGCCTTCTTCTGAAGGCTTGCTGAGATCTCCTGGAAGCACAAAGGTTGCATGGCAGTCCTGACTCAGCCTGACTCATGACCAGGAGCGGTGTCGCAAACCCTTATGTCTTGGCCTTGTAATCCTTTATTGCTTCCGCAACTGCTTCCGCAACACTTACGTGCGCTGCGTTTTCGCTTACGCGGTGTTAGTTTGGAGTGCTTTCGCTTACGCGAACCTTACGCATCGGAGGTCTGTTTTGAAACAAGTTGATTCACATGCCTTTTTCCTTTCACTGCGTGGGGGTCAGTTCTCTGATGAAGTAGAGCTTGAAGATGAAGCAGAGGATGACGAGGTGGACGAAGTCGAACTGCTGTTATTTGCTTTGATGGAGTGGGAGCGTGGTCTACCTACCTTCGAATGCGTTTTCGTCTTACGCGAAGCTTCCGCGTCGGCTTTCGCGGAGCTTCCGCGGAATTCGTGCTATAAACCTCTGTATGAAAGCCTGAGGAGTGAACTGTCTGTACTTTGCTAGTTGCTTGAGATTTGCGCGCTTCGTTTCGGTGGCTGGGGTTGGCCGTGAGGCTCTTAAAATAAAGGACGCAGCTCACATGACATGCAGTACTTGGCATCCTCAAAAACTTGCTTCCGCAGAGCTTCCGCGTCGTGTAAAGAGACATACACTTACGCAGAGTCTTCCGCAATGCTCACGCGGTGCAGGTTTTCACTTCCGCCAGCCCTCTTGGAGAACAAGTGCTTGATAAAAGCTTTAGATGGAGGTTTTTGTCGCTCCTCTTTTGGAGTGGAGCTTAGCAATGGCCCTCTATTGGAGGTCCACTTTGAAGACTCCATATGACACTGCTTCACCAACTCATGGAATTTTAGGCTAAACAGCTAAACTTCCACGATTTCTGTCAAGCACCCAATGTTAGACCCAATGTGAGCTATTTGTCAGATCCTTTGAAGAAAGCCTCTCCTGAAGTCGCACCAGGGTGCTCACTGTATTCTGCTCGTTCCGCCGGGCAACCTCGACCGCCACTGTCTCACGGAGGTCCTCAAACTTGACATGGTCCACGTCTGGTCCATAAGGTGGTCTACTTGTGTTCACAAGCTGGTCTTCATTTTGTACATGATGCTTCACAATTTTGTACATTGCCGACAGAATTGCCTCGCTGGCGGCGCTGAGGTTGCTGGAAGGCAAAACAGTATGCAAAAGCTTTCTCCAACAGCACTGTCCTGGCCAACCAGCTTTTGGAGCTCCTGCCACGCGCAATTTTCTCGTTCTTCAGAATGGGAAAGGTCTATCTTTTTATTTGGCTCTGGATAGCAACTCTTGGAAAAGTCTTGTGCCCTGCATCCCTTGTTTCCAGGCATATCCATCTCTGGCCTGCAACTGCAGTTGCTGGTGCTCTGTGGTGTTGTGAATCGATCGAATCAGCGGAGAGATGTGGTACTCGAAGTACTCCGTGCAGAGTCCTTCAGAACATGTTGGCCCTCAAAACAGGAGCACCTTCCGAAGCTTCATGAAGGACTTTCAAGCGATGCGACACGAGCCCTTCCGAAATCAATCTGCTTTGCAGCCCAACTTTGGACCCTTCAAGCGGCACCTCGAACAGCTGTGCTGAGGTCGACTGTGGCACGATGATGATCCTCTTCTTCTCCATCACCTGGTTCAGCAAATGCAATCGGAACCAAATCTCCCAAACCAACAACTATCTAAACAACATTAAACAACCCAATTTCCAAACTTCCCAGTTCCGACTTTGCTGCTTGAGGCACCAATGAAGAAATTCCCATCAGTGTCAGGTCGGCTGTACCATTCTGCCAGTGTCCTGGTTTTGTCCTTCAGGCAATGGACATGAGTGGATACAACCCTTCAAATGAAAGGAGAATCGTGCAAGAGGACTGTGTGTGGCACATAGAAAAGCATGTCCGAAAATATCTGGTGCTCCTTGTAGTGGAACTTGGCCCCTTCTGTAGCATCCTAGTGAGGTAGAACAGGTCTGGACAACAAACTGCTATTCTGACTAGCCGAAAGCAAAAAGTAAATCACCAGCTCATCCGAAAAAGTATGAAAAAAGTCAGGCCTCAACATGTTTAGGTGCCACAGGTGGATGGTTCTCCGAGGGGTGTGCCTCTGCCTGTGGAGGTTCTGAGAGTCACGAGATCTTGCGCGTTAGTCTTCTGATTAAAACAGGGACAAAGAAGCGGGCGCCTTCACCGGAGGACGTGTCCAAACTTGACCAGCTGGCACTGGAGCACCTGTCACTTGAAAGAAGATGCTAGGGGGAATCCGGTATTTCGTTGCTATGCACGTGATGCCGGTATATGGACTATGGACTTTGGATATATTTAAGAATCACAATTCACAAAAATCATCTGCAGTATGTAACTTGTTCAGATCGTTGCTTCCACCCTTGAATCTTCACGGGGCTAATATGCCCACACGTCTAAAGTCCCCCGGCCTTTGCCGTACGGGAGGTTGTACATAAACGGCGGTGGCCCAGGGTAGGGTTGATGGCCGCCCTTTGCCCACATGGCGAGCTCGTTCGGACAAAGGTAGACAGGCTTTATGACAAAACGTAGCGAAGGAAGTTGGCACTATGCTAGAAGTGCATGGTGTCAAGTCAAGTACGCTAGTTGGCACTATGCTAGAAGTGCATGGTGTCAAGTCAAGTACGCTTCAGGCACGTTTCTCTCTCTTTGGCTGCGAGCCAGTTCTAAACAGCAGCTGGCATTGCAAGAACAGAACACATCTGGCTGGTCTTGGCGATGGTTCGAAACCAACAGCAGGCGCACTCCCCCAGTGGCACATGGAATGGTCTGGCCTGACTTCATGGGTTGAGGACTGGATTATGCACATTAAACCTAGAAGTACGGATGAAGTTTCTAGACACCGTTGGCTGGAGTGAATTTCAGTGCTTGCATGGTTGCTTTAGGTCTGAGACTCTCTTCCGTAAATCAACCTATGTCCTGGTGTTTCTTCTTGTAGAAACACGCATCTTCTGGTTCTGTGCAAGTCATGCATGCATGAGTTTAAAATGGTTCGACAATGGTATCCCCCAACACTGCCGGATATTCTTTGGGCAGCATGAGGACTGAGAGCCAGGCTAGGCCAAAGTCAGCAATCTTCAGTCTCAAGTGCTGGTCGATGAGGAGATTCTGCACGTGGGTAAGAAAGTTGAAGTTGAAGGAAAGGCATTGGCAGATTGGCAGGGCCCATTTTAGTCAACATTGAAACCTTTGCTCCAGTGGCAGCAACACTTCGTCATCTCTTTTGTCGTGAACTGGTTTTGATTGTTGACGACGAGTCCCTTGCATAAAAGTATTTGTTGTTGGAAGTCCATTGAAAAGCAGGTTGCATACAAAGGCTAGATGAGAGCATTGCCTGTGCAGGGATATGCAAGACTCAAAGACAAAAGGATGGAAGTAACCACCCGCAAAAGATTTGTAGACAGAAAACAATAACTGCGTATCGCTTGCAAAAATGCAAGTGATACATGACAAAGAAGATTCTTATATGTATCCTGTATATCACATACATCATCGTTTATGTCGTCTCAAACCTCAATGTCGATGACCCCCACGGTCCCACGTACGTCCCACATCACACGGTCCGACGCCTGCGGTTTCAGATCACGATGCAGGATGCGGCTGGCGTGGCAGAACTGCACCCCTTCGAAAAGCTGCAACCTTCGCCCGGGGTCACGGGAGTCGCAAGCGTCGCCCTCCAAAACGAACTTTTTGGTCAATATATGTCAATATCTTGATTACATCTGCCAGCATATGAATGGAAACCTGGCGGTCACGCACAGAGTCTAGCCAAGCTACGCAAAATTCCTCACCGTCGCAGGCGACAGCTTGTTGCTCATGGAGCGCATGTACCTCTCATGTGGGACCAAGAGGCATTCCTTCCTCTTGACAGACCCATATTTCAATTGTGTGCCTAAAACCAATGTCCAGTTCCCGATGTCATGGTCGTTCTGTGAATGCCCAATCTTTCTTGATGCACACCCCAAGCATGCAAGCTCTTTAAGCTTGTGCAACTAAACAACTGCACAGGTCCTCAGTAACGAATCTTCTTGCTAGTCCCCAGACCGCTGTGCTCGTCGAAGATCGGCAGCTGAGCAAATCAGGCCTAGAGGATATGGGAGATTGGACAGGATTCGAAAACAATGGTGAACGGGGATGAACAAAAAGCAAACACCTCATCGCATCCTGGGAAGACAAAAATAAAGCTGGTTATCAGTGTGACAGTTATCAAAGTGATGGTTCCCAACAGCTTCCACTGCTTTCACGATACAAAATCTGCATCTAAACCGAAGCCGTCAAACTTACAAGTTTAACAGCATCTTTCTTGAAGCCCTGCTACATATCTGTAGCTATCATTCGTCACTCTTTGTCCACGTACTCGACCAAACGCCTGCAGCACTGTGGAAGGCGCTGATGCCAGGTACAGAAGGGAGCACCGCCCCGAACGGCCCGTGGTCTTGCTGTGGAGGACCCTCCGCGACGCCTGAAATTGCTCGCACTGGAGTTGCAAGGAGCCGAGGCCTCTTAAACTGAAGCCTGGCAGAGGGCCCCAGAAGGCTTCCTTCCATGTCTTTGAAGTCTGACACTTGGAAAGCCTCTTCAACTTGTCCCTGTGGCATCATGCTTCTTGGCCGTCTAAATGCAGCACGGGCCTGTGCGCCAAATGCCGAGAATTCGACAGGCTCAGGCGGCTCAGCAGCCGCTGGCTCAGCAGCAGCTGGCTCGGCTGACACTGGTTCAGGTTCAGCCTCTTCCTCTGGATCAATTTCAACAATCTGCAGAGCAGACGTGTCCAAGGAAGGGGCAGCTTCTCTCAAAGATGGCACGGCATCGGAAGGAGGATGTGCCATGTCTGCTGCATATTCTGCGTCTGTTTCTGCCTCTGCATCTTCCACACAAATCACGAGGTTTTCCAAATGCTCATTCTTGTGCGAAGCAGCTGCAGCCTGTGAGGAACCCGGCGCAGTCAGGGTGTCCAAAGCGGGACAAAGCTCCCTTGCTGCGTCCCAGCTCGATCGTTTGCTAGCCACTTGCCACAGCTCGAAAACGCCATCCACTCCTTGTGGCAAATTTCGATGGAAGTCCAGGTCATCCAGCTCTATTGCCACAAGAGCCATACAAGCTCACAAAAGCTCACAAGTTCTCGCATACGAGAAGTCTCTAGTGTCAGTTGAACAAGTCAGTCTCAATGTGTCTGTACATGGAGGCAGCATATGAAGAGCTGCACATGTTTTGCCACAGATGTAGTAGTTTCTGGTAGCTTGAGTATGCTTCATGCTCAGTTTTGATGTGTTGCCGTATTCCATCCACTTACCTTTAACCTGTGTGAACTACGCGGCGGCAGGAATCCACTGTTCTCCGTAAGGACGCCAGGAATCCAGGAATCCAGGAACTGCGAGAAGAGCGAAAGTCGAAGTTTCGACAGTCGAAGCAATACTTGTTGTTTGTATTGTCTGTCTCTGTTGGTTCAATATCAATCCAATCCCAACGCATATGTATTTCTGGCAGTCTAAGTTGCCGGAGATATGCAGGATCATGTTTGAAACACTGTGTTTAGGCCGTCAGTAACAGGAGGCTGCTGCTCCATTGTTCAACTTGTCCAATTCTTGCAGGATGGAAATGTAGACCGTCACCACTCATGTCAACATGCAAAACCGGTGTGAGCATCCCAAAGAGCACCGCTCTGTCGATTTGGGGTGCTGAATATATTCATATATATTCTCTAGCAGGTTGGGAGACCCACATCATCCCACAAAACATATGATATGACACGAAGATTGGAGATGATTGGAGTGATTGTTGAGGGAGCTGCTTATATGCTTCAATGCATTGGCATTGTATGTAGTGCTACTGATAAGAGCCAAGGAGTCATTGTAGATTGCCTTGACACTGGCCCCGTTCAAACATGCGCCCTCTAAGCCCACAAAACCACTTAGTGACTGGTGTAGAGTAGTGACAGTAGTGATGACAAAAGTCAATGAAACTCATAAGCTTTGGATATAGCAGTCCATGTAAAAATCAGTTGTGTCTTCAGCCACAGCGGCAACGTTTCTGGCGGTCGGCACTTCTTCAGATCGTTCTCGACGAACTCAAACACTAAGATTAACCTGCGACATGGAACTGAAGAACAACCTGCACCAAAACTGCAACTTTTGCGTACATCGACTCTCAGCCTTCTTGGGAATGTTTCCCCTCAAGCGTCTCTGCTTCCCAAGTTCTGACAGGAAGATGGAGAACATCAAGTCTGCCGAAGGCACTTGCTCGGCTTGTAGAAAATATTGAGCAGCTTCACAATGTTCTGATGATCCTTCAGTTCCTGCCCAGCAAGGCACAGCTGAAGCAAGCTCAGGTGGTCAATTGCATAAGCCCTAAGCAACACTTCCTTCAAGAGTGCAATCTCTCGAAGGGCAGTGCTGGGCATTCCATCTTCCTCAGCATCACAGTGTGAAGCATGGCTGGTGCTTTTTGGCTATCGGCGAAGAAAAACACTGAGCTCCACTCAGAGCCCTCAATTTTCATCTGCTTCATGGCAACCAACTCTCCAGTACGAAGGGATCTGGCTTTGAAGACCTGACACCAAATCGCTTGGCACAGGCCGCACAAGCTATTGACATCTTCCCGGAGCAACACGGAACAAGAATACAAGGCAAGTTCGGGTGAGAGCATGTCAGCCCACCATCCGCCCCGTCGCACGTACGACAATTGCCTTTCCGTATGTCCCCTCTCCTAAGAGGGAGGGCTCCACACGTTCGTACCTGGGGCAACAAAAAAGAGGCGTCGGCTTCCAAAGAGTTGCAAAGACAAGACGTCCAAAGAAGAACAAAGAACAAACACAGAATGAGCATGCCAAGACTGCATACGAGTAATATGCTTCCCTGAGAGGTCGGCTGGCTCTCAAAGACTCTTTCTGCCTCATCCAGATTGTCATCTAAGTCCGCCATGCTCCTGGCGATGAAGGTCCAACAAGCGGGTCGGTAGGTAGGAAAGGGGAGGGGAGGAAAGAGAAGTAGCATCGTGGGTGCATTCAGAGATAAGTAGTGGCAGTTAACATCAACCCTCACCGGTCCTGTGCATGGGATTTCTTCCCATTAACATTTCATCTAAGCAAACCAAATTGTCCAGAAATTGAATTCTCGAGCCAATCGCCACAGTGAGGATACAGTCAATGAAACAGTACGTTTGACTGGCTACTACAACACAAGTCCAGACTGACTTGGCACTTCGGTTGACCCATGCATTTGTTTCCAGCCACAGAAGGCCGTGCTCTGCCTACTCCACGTCAAGCTCCGCCTTCAAGAATGAACAGTATAGATCTACAATCAACCGCAACGAGAACATCATACCACTCCCAGAAGCAACTACTTTGAACAGCCCCTTGGAGATTGACACGGGAAAAGCTGTACTCTTGCAGCTTTCAGCTCTTGAAGTGTCATGCATTGTGATATTCTCGCAAAACGGCTTGAGCGAATCAGGTGCTTCACATCCAGGAAATGCTTTCGTTGTTCATATGATACATATGTGTAATATGTGAGCAATTCATCGCCGTTTTGCAAAATGCTAGTTGACAAGCTCTATCTCAGCACAGCCTGGCTGCAACAAGGCTAGGCCTTCATGAGAATGTCTTCTGAGCATTGATTTTGAAAAGAAATTGTGATGGGTTCCTTGTGATCGCAACAGTTCATTCATGTTCATTCCTTAAACTCTTGTGAACCGCCACGACAGGCGCGGTCACGAGGCGAGACTTTTCTCCCAGCGAGCCATGAAGAAGCCGTCAGTCCCATCCACGTGAGGCAGCAAGGTACGGCAGTGCCGACGGCAGTGCCGACGGCAGTGCCGACGGCAGTGCCTGGAAACGAGAATTGAAAGGACATTCAACTGGCATGTGACACAATGTTTCTACTTCTTCAAAGGTGGTTTGAAGAAAAAATACTGTAACATGAGAAACATTTACACTGTATATAGTATATAATATATAGAAATAACATGTTATTAACATTGTTTAACCACCAGCAAGTCCAACTACTAACGCTTTGCTTGCTTGCTTCCCTCAAGAAGCAATTGGACACCATGGGAACTCAAGCGCCACCATATTTGACTACCACATAGCTATTCCAAACTATATAATATACTACCGGCATGGGAAGTTCTTCTAGCTACAACCATCCCCAGGTCCTCTGCTAACTCAGCACCCGCCAAAACAAGTGGCAGGACTATCCAACATCCTTGTCTGTCCTTGTCTCTGCTTGTCGAGATTCAGCAGTTCTTTCGAAATAACCTTTTGCACGAGCGTTCGTCTAAGGTAGCCTTCTCTCCAAGAGCAAGTATCAGATCTTAACTTTTTGTCTCTGTTCGAACACATGTTTTCCCGCTTCCACGGTCTTGCTCCTTCACACTTGGCCTTAGACTATTCATTATTTTTCACCAGCAAGTTTTTCCAGTTTCTCCAGCCACCATCCTTTTATCTTTCTCACATCTTGTCTTCTGTCTTGTCAGGTTTCTTGACTATCTTGACTTGATCCAATCGTTAGTCCTCCTTTTAGTCGCTTCCCCTTCTACTGTTCTTTCTAATGACATCGAAAGAACATGAAAGAACCGGTGGTCTCTTTTGGGAGTGTCCGTCCCACACATCACCAGCCTCTGAAAGGGCCATGGGAGAAAGCTCTGCCCGGCGCGCGCTTCAAAAGCCTCTACGACTTCGCTGTTCTCCACGTGCATCAAAGAACAAGTGGCATAAACCAAACGGCCACCCGGACGCACCAGTTGCGAGGCCTCTTCCAAAATTGCAAGTTGGAGTGCTGCAATCTGCGACAACTCTTCAAACTTCAAGGCCCAGCGTTGAGATGGATGTCGTCTCAAAACTCCAGAGGACGAACAAGGGGCATCGACCAAAACCACATCAGCCCCACCAGAAATCATTTCAGGCCCTGGTTTGCTGCTTGGCACTTCCACCAGACCGGATGCGCCAGCGCGCTTTGCACGAGCACCGTGCAGTTGTTTTCGCAGATCCTCTTCGACGTCCCAGGCATACACACGGCCCGTGGGCGCAACCAAGGCCGCCAGCAGCCAAGTCTTTCCGCCACGACCTGCGCAGTAATCCACGACACACTCTCCAGTCTTGGCTTCGGTGGCCAAAGCTAACAACTGAGACCCTTCATCTTGGACCTCAAAAAGACCTTCACTGTAACCAGGCAACTGCCAAACTCCTCCTCCAGGTGGACGGCCATCTGGAAGCCAAAGACCATAAGGGCTCTCACCTGTGGGGATGCTGCGTATTCCATGCTGCATCAGCATTTCCATCAGGGCCAAGCGACTGGTGTTGAATGTGTTCACCCTTAGGGTCACCCGAGCTGGACGAGACATGGCACGGCCCAGGGCGAAGGACGACCAAACGCCGAACTGCTGGAGCCAGCTTTCCGCCATCCAAAGGGGTAGAGACCAAACAACTGCAAGGCGTTGAGCCAGGCTTACGATGCTCACAGCATTCTCGTGAGCCTCAAAGAGTGGGGCTTGGACTGCCTGTGACACTCTTTGCTCATCGATCTCACTGAGATTCTCACATCTGCGCGTCAACTCACCTTTCTGACCTTTCTCTTCACGGTCTTCTCCCTCTTCTCTCAACTCCCGGCGGACAAAGAGCTCCAAGAGCAATTCCGCCCAAAGAGAGCCTCCATGCTCCGTGGAAGCCTCTCCGGTGCTCCGTGTGCTCCTTGTCTTGTCCAGGAGATGTACCAAACGTCCGTGGAAGACGGCAATGCCCAGGACACGCTGTGCGATCGCCGCTCGCGTGGCCTGGTTCAAGGCCGCGTGTTTCGCCCGCATGGCTTTCCGCAGGGCCTTCTCCACGTCGCTCCCCGGGGCGTCAAGCCACAGACGAAGTGCGGCCAAGGAGACGTCTCGCACCAACTCTCCGGGACCTGAGACTGAAAAAAGAACGGATTGTGTTCAACAAACCAAGGAAGTTCACTGGAAAGAAACAGCACACAAAATCAAAGAGTTCATAGATATTCATAAATAATCCGAGGAGAACCCTTTTCATTTGCATTCTGTGAGATCTACCTTAGCTAAGATGGTGAAACAGAATTCCACCGAGTGACAGGGTGCCGAAGCTGGAGGTGTTTGGTTCCCACCATTTTCGTCTGTACACATGGCATGTGGAAAACAAGTCCTATATTTATGTGAAATGATCCAAAACAGCTGAGCAACAAAGACTTTAATGCCATGTTTACAAGGACAATCACTCATGGACTTCAAATCTGATGTTCAAGTGCTCTTCTGCTGGCTTGAAGTTGAGGGTATTCATGAATGTGCAAAGAGCCGCTGCTGCACTCGCATCAATCAGGGCATCCTGTGTATATATAGGTATGTATATATATATATCATGCAGGATCATCCGTGATAAATCAAGATCAACAGCCTAAGCCATCATCACAGCAGGCACTTCCTGGCCAAACACCCTGCTTGACCTGTGAACCTTGGGAGCTCCAATACTCACAGTTATCGGATAGTACCAAAGAGTCAAACTCAAACTGTTTGGGAATAGTAGTAACAAGAAGCTATTAGAAACAAGTGCATCGCTAGTAGTAACAAGTGCCTTACTAGTAGTTAACAAATAACACAGGAGCCCCAAGTTCGTTCCTACCGAGCTCATGAAGCTGGAAGCGACGCAAACGGTCGTCGCCTCACCGAAGCACAGAGTTCCGTGAAAGCGGGTCGTTGCTTTGCAAAATTCCTCAATCCGCAAAGAGTCGTTGCAACGCAGAAAAGACACTCGAATTCCTTTCTGCGTTAAGAACCCGAATTCCTTCAAAAAGCCCCCCGACGTCCTGGACTCACAGCCAATTCCTTTATAGCCCTCATGTCTAGGTTACCTGTGTGAAGACATCAAATTGAACGCCAGAGCACACGACACCAACGCCCGGTGCTACCAAGCTGCCAGGAACATCCGACCTCCGACCAACGGAGACGAAGAGTGGCTCCTGACAAGATCGGCATACAGCTGGGCCTAAGCGCTCAAGAGTTTCCCGAACATCCTGAGGCCAGGCTACAATCTGTGCCGACATAGCAACGAGTAAAACCCTGAACAAAAGCAGTAGTCCAGAGCATACTTCAGCCTTCAGTCTTTTCAGAGTCAAGTCTTTTGAAGCAAAGTCCTCAAAACCACCTACCGCAACCGTGGGATACCGTGGGTCTCCTGCAACCACCTCCGTGGGCTGGGCGCTCGTGGCCGCTGTTCTCTTGTTTGGGAGGATGCACTCGACGGGACTGGATGCGCCTGGGATGTGGCAAGCTGAGAAAACTGGACGAGAACGCTCAAGTGACGATACAAACAAGTCACTAAGGACAGAAGTCCCACAAAAGATAGACATAATTACAGCTCACAAAAAGGAGAACTGCCCTGGTCTCGGCCTTGCCTCCAGATTGCCTTTCGCCTCCAGCTGATCCACACGATCTGTCAAGGAAGTTAAGGCCTTTGCAATGGTGCCTTGGTAGCTGACCGCAAGGATCATATGTTCTTTGTGTCAGCACGTGGTGCAAATCCCAAATGGGAACTAATCATAATCCAATTGACAAACTCAAAATCAGAAAGAACCTGCAACGGAAGTCCGTGTGTTTGGGGAACTATCCGGCCAATGTGAGCTTCACAACAGCTCAAATGAAGCTCCGGCCTAACTCAGCGCCGAATCGATCTTCCGGATTGGCGTTTGCAAGCTCATCCACTTTTGTGCATAGCCTCAAGTTCTTTCAACATGAAGACGCCTATCCCCATGAAGCACTGATTCAACTTCAACCTAAAGACGCTGCATCGATGTTGAAAGCTAACCCAACCGCTTGAAAGACACAACAAAACTCAGCGATAGAAGATAGGTGAAACACGTCCTCCAAATAAACTTCAGTGTCCCTTTCAAAAAATCGGGGAAACAATTGAATCATCCAAGGGCTCCGTGTCCGTAGTTTCTTTGCTATCCTTGCTATTTGCACCTTTAGTACCAGCTTACTCTTACGACCGCCTACCCGGTCCTACCCGATGTCCGCAGCTCTCACAGATCTGACAAGATGCATGCTCAAGGCATCTGCCATTGTTGCTACCTCCCGACGTGCTGGTTAAAGTGAAATCACTGCTTCAGCATTAAAATCAGTGCCTCTCAGGTCACAGCTTGTGACAGTATTTTCCTGTTGGTTTTGGTGTTCTGTGCCCGCAGCAGCTCTTCAAACCTGTCCGGCCTCGTTCTCTTCACCAACTTTGGCTTCGATCAAGGCTTTCAGCTCTTGCAAGTCCTTGGCCTATGCAGGTTTGGGAGTCTTCAATTGAATAGAGAAGTCATTATTGGTCCTTTTTGTGCCTTGATCTTTTTTCTGGACCTTTCTTCTTTTCTTCACGTCGTTGTTGGAAATCACTTAATTGCATCAGTCCCAAGATTTCCCACACTGGCACCTGCTGCTGCTGGCACTGCTGAATGGGCTGCAGCATGGTGGCAACAGCCTGAAGGACATGCAGACAAGTTGCTGGAAATTATCCACGAAGAAAGACACTAGAAGGACATCTTCTGTTCCGAGAGCTGAGTACCAAGACAAGAACAGTGTGGATGGGTAAACCAAGACAAGCGAAAACATCCCTTAGAGAGATTTGAAGACTGGCCCTTCAAGAAGCATCCCTTCAGAATTTCAGGAGTCCGCCACTTTGTCCATGGAGCCCTGAGATCGCATCAAGCGGCAATGTTTGTCACTTGTTTACCAATTCTCAAAAAATATATCACCTGTTTACTAGTGCCCCAAGGAATGTTGTTTCTTGATGCCGTACAAGGACGCTACTAGGGGCTCGCTACTAGGAACAAGAAGCTACTAGGGGCTCCTGGCCGTACTACTAGGAGCAAGGACGCTTCACTTTTTTGTCACAAGTGAATAACATCTCGTGTGAGATCGACTGAGTCGTCAGCGACATGCTCTGGACAAGCCTTGCAACATGCAGCGAAGTGCTTTGAACAACTGCGATCGTAATCGTAACTCATGGGCGCCTGGTACATGTTGGCAACACCCTGCGCAGAAGAGACGCAAGAATTTTATTGCTGTGGAATCTTCAGGTGTTGCATGACCCATACCTGAAGTCGATCTGCACTGGTTAGGATGTCTCCTATTTTGACCAATCCATTGAACCCACCCCACCTGCACAGAGGCTGCCAAGTCCTTTTGCTGCGCTTGCAGCAATGCCAAAGACCCCTCCGGGTTGCTCAACTTCGAAGCCTGGATGACTCAAAGCGTCTCTAAGAATTAAGTGAACTGGTCGATGCATGTCAATGCAGTGCCCGCAAGTGTTATCAGGATCAAAAAATATGTGCGGCGCGCGGTGCCGTCTTCAAAAAGACAGACCCAGATAGCTAGGCAGAATCCCGCGACCTGTTGACATGCGACTGGCTGGAACAAAAATGCACGCAGCCTGCACGGCCAGCTTACGGCACCTCCACAGCGCGCACAATCAGCTGACACCAGCACCGGTGCGCTTTGCCAGCTGACAACACCGGCAGCGGCGCCAGCACCCGACCAGCACGGCACCCGGCACCAGCACCAGCCAGCAACCTGTCTCCACCACGTGCACAGCCAGCTCACAGCACCAGCACCAGCACCGGCACCCGGCACCCGGCACCCAGCACCAGCAACCTGTCTCCACCACGTGCACAGCCAGCTCACAGCACCAGCACCAGCACCGGTACCCGACACCCAGCACCAGCACCAGCAACCTGTCTCCACCACTTGAAGAAGACAGATCACAGCACCAGCACCAGCACCAGCAACCTGTCTCCACCACGTGCACAGCCAGCTCACAGCACCAGCACCAGCACCGGCACCCAGCACCAGCAACCTGTCTCGAAAGCGCGCACGGGCAACTCATTGTTATTTGAAGTAAGAACCCTATAGCTCCGCTATCTGGGGAAAAAAATATAAGACCAGAAACTGCTGGGATCAACTAGGTGTTTCTCGAATCAGGTACAAAATATTCAGAGAAATGCGGACAAACGGCAGCAGCTGGCAAGCAAAAGTCCGATCTCTTGTCGGTATTTTAGTTGCTGCATACCCGCTGCTTACTGCACTCTGGACTCAGCATGGTACTGTCTGAGTGACTTGTGGGATCTTTTCGCCTCAGCCAGCATGCTGCGTTCAGAAAAACACACGAGGTTTCGGTTGAGTCAGACGGCGGAATTGCTCCGCGATACGGAGATTGAAATCATCGCTAGCTAAATCGCGGATTACGACGAACTAGCGCAACAACGCTCCGACCCCCCCGGCGAACCATAAGAGTTTGTTTCCGGCGCGCGATCACAAAGAACATGTCAAGCATTGAAGAAGACCCCTGTCCAGCTGCCGCGTGAAGCGACACGTGAACCGACGCACAGCGCACGGTGCAGGGCGGTCGTGCAACCGAGGTGCGAAGCTCTTGTTGCATCGTCTCCAAAAGCAACTGCTTTTGCGCCATGGCGCTGAGACCCTCGGCCACCTGCGAGACCGTCGAACGAGATGAAACCTGAAGGATCGAAGGAATAGCGACAAAAAGGAACAGGCCGACCTCCTACTTTTTTGAGTAGGCACCTACTCAGTTAAGTATGGCAGTGAGCTACTAGGCTAAGTTAGCTTCTAGCTAGGACGCAGGACAGCTCACGCTTCTTCAAGGAAGTCGGGCGGGGAGCTTCCTTGAAGAAGCGCTTGCACTAATGATTTGGTTCCTAGATGTTTAGGGAAACTTAAGTACCTGACTTTCCAGAAGCCCTTGGCCGCTTGGCTGCCGTGTTGGCCTGGCGCTTCTCCGCCTGCAAGACTTGGAACTGGCTCTGCAAGGTGTGAACCGCTGCAACCAGGTCCTGTCACAAGGCGCATTGTGGAGGTGATCCACCAAAGGATGAGCTCTGCTTGGGTATCCAAAGGTGAAGCCTTGGGCCTAAGGCTTCGATTATGTTTACGATGTTTTGCCGCATAGTTTTGCCGAATAGTTAATGCGTTCCATGTCATCCTGGATCTTGAAGTTTCAAAGCTTGTGGCTGCAGTCCCGCCTGGTCCTTGGCTGCTCCCTGGCAAGGCTAGAGGCATGCAAGGGTTGAATTCGCATTGACGAGGAGTATAGGAGCAACAGATTGAAGCAACAGTTGTCTTGTTCTGTCTGTCTTTCTTTCTCTTCGTCTCAACCTTGCAACACAA